ATCATAACAAGACTTAATAGAATCAGTAATATTTTCTGCGTGACAGCCTTCTAAGTTAATTGACTTCCAACCACAACAATTAGACTTTTTTTCAATATTATGCAATCCATTTATATCTTCACTAAAATCATTTTGCTTCATCATCGTTTGACTTAATATAATAAAGAATCCTCCTACAATAAGTACTAAAACACTTCCAATTGTTGTACATATTTTACCTCCTTTATTGAAACAACACGAAACTATTGTTGTTGATATAAATAATAATATCCCAAAGATACATCCCACTGATATAAATAATGAACTGATTTTCTCATTAAATTCAATGTCTGGATCTAATAAGTTAAAGTAAAATTGAACTGGGAAAAAACAACATAATATAATTCCAAGAAGACTTAATAATAATAATGGTGTATGTGCCATCTTTAATTATAATTTATTATTTTAATTATTTTTAGTTATATTTATTTAGTTATTGTTTTTCCTTTTTTATTAAAAATAACTAAAGTATGAGTTTATTGATTTTATTGTAACTACAAATCAATTTAAAAAAATAACTAAACACTTCTTTAATTATTCTTTTTTAATTATGCAATTCATGCTAAATAAAAACAACTTAATCAATTAAGTGTTGTTAGTGTTATCCTCTTTTGCTCTTTCTTCCCTTGGGATTAATTCCATAGTTGTTATCAAACAATTTAATTGTAATGTTTAATTATAACTGAAACAATGTTTTATGAAATTTATCATTTTTTATTACAATGTTTTTGGCTTCTTTGGGTTTTCAATTTCTTTTTAATTCTTTAGCTAATTTAATACTGTATGTATTTATTATCTCATTTATTGAAATTGTTACCTGAAATATCATTACTGTATTTTCTTTTATTTTCTTTATTCTGTTTGTTATTTCTTTATACTTATTTCTTAATTTCTTATTTAACTTTTTGTTTAACCAATTATTATAAAATCAATTACTTTATTTATTATCTTATTTCTTTGTTTTATTGTTCTTTCATTTCTTGTTGTTTGTTTATATTCTTTTCTTCTTATTCTTCATTTCTCTATTTTCCATTGTTGTAGTTTCTTTTATTTTTGTATTTGATGTTATCATTCTTGTGCATTTATTACATGTCTCCTTCTCTATTTCTTTGTTAAATTTCTTTTTCATATTGAATGTATTGTTGTTCTTGTTGTGTATTATTTACCTTTTCTCCTTTTTCTTATTTTTATTTCATCTTATTATTATTTAGTGTTTGTGTTGATTTATCTCTTCGTTTCTTCTTCTTTCTTATCATCCTAGTCTCTTATTTCTTTATTTTTCTTTTATTTTATTTACTTTTATTATTATTTATCATCATTTATTTATCATTTTTATTATTTAATTAGAATTAGATTGTTCTTTTTTATTTGTGTTTTCATTTCTATTTCATTTTCATTTCTATCATTATTATGTGATAATATTATTGTTTGTGATGAGTTGTTTTGATATTTCTTATTTTTATTATCTTCTAATTTCTTATTTTTATTATTGTTATTTAAAAACAATAAAAATGAAATGATGTTTATTAAAATAATATATGATAAAATAATAAATAAAATGATGTGTTACAAAGATTGTATTTAATTATTTAATCATCTTATTATTTTAATCTGATATTTATTAAATTAAAATGGAAGAGTTAATAAACAGGAGTACTCAATTCTTTAAAGAAGAAATAGAAACACTTCCAAATATTCAACAATCAATTGATGATACTACTAAACAGTATCATTATTATTTAAGAAGTATTAAAAATGAAATATTTGAAATTCAAGATAATGAAACATATTCAGAAGCTATTAAAAGAGGAGAAGGAATATTTGATAGGATTGATGAAACAGAAAGAAGAAGAAAACTAATAATAGAAAAAAGTCAAGAAACAATTAGTCAAATAGAAATAATTAAGAATAAAATGGACAAAATAATAGAAGGATGTAATTCAGATGAAGAAATACTAAGTAAAACAAAAAATGAAATAATCAACAAAATCATTTCAATTGAAGAAATGATCATGAAAAATAAACTATTCAGAACACCAGAAGAAAAAGATAAAATCATACAATCATTTAACAAAAAGAAAAAAGAATGGGAAACATATTATAGTGATTATTTTGAAAGGAAGAAGATGAAAGAAGAAGATGAAGAAAAAGAGAGAAAGAAACAAGAAGAAGAAGAAAAAAGAAGAAAAGAAGAAGAAAGATTAAGAATAATGAGAGGAATGATTACAATTGAAGAAATGAAACAAATAGAAGAATGGACTTCAAGAAAAGTATTTAATATAATATTTGATTCAGTTATTGATAATTGGAATGTTAATACATCAGTATTTAATCAAAGAATAATAAATAAAGAACATATAATAATTATTATTGAAGATACAAATGGAAATAAATTTGGAGGATATGTTAATGTGAAAATTGATAAAGTTAATAAAGATATAAGTGATCCAAAATCATTTTTATTTTCAATAGAATCAAAAGGAAGAATACAAGGAATGATGAAATTTGATATTAAAGATCAACGATTTGCATTTTATTTATATAATCAATTAGATGATTGTTTGTTTATATTTGGAAATGGTGCTGATATTCGTGTTCGTAAAGAAAATGATAAAACAAAATCACTTTGTAATCAATATTCATTTTCATATAAAGGAATAAGGAATGCACTTTGTGGAAAACAATATCCAGATAATTTCACACCAAAACGAATCATTGTAATTGAAATGAAATGATTTTTATTCATTATTATTTATTTGAAATATAAAAACTAAAAAAGAATATAAAATCAAATCAATAAATGAATATGAACATTTCATCTATCAATGAATGAAATGATGAATATAAAAATGATCATATTTCATTCTTATTTTATTTCATTTGAAATATTCATATTCATTGTGTTAATTTAATAAATAATAAAAAGAAATAAGAATAAAAGATAAATAAAAATATAATAAAATATTTATTTTATTCTTTTTTATTTATTTTTTATTTTATTTATATTATTTTATATTTATTTATTTTATTCTTCTTCTTTTATCTTTATATCTATTATATATTTCTTATTTTATTATTTATGTTATATTCTTATATCATTTTATTCTTATTTTATATTTATTCATTATTATTCATTTCATATTAACAATGATAAATAACAATACAACATATAATAAATAAATGATATAAGATAAACAACAATAAACAACAATAATAAAATATAAACAAACAATATAAACAAATATAAAATAATAAAAGAACATCTAATATAAAAAATAATAACAAAGAATAAAAATAAGAAATGAATGATGTTTAGAAAAGAAAAAAATGAAAAAAAGAAGAAATGAATAATGAGTTATTATTGATTATTCTATTCTCTTATTTTATTGTTTATTTATTTTATTATTGATGTGTATTAATTTTATGAATCATTAAATTTGATTTGTCATTTTATTATTTTATTTACATAATTTATTAATTGTTGATTCAATTTTATTGATACTTTTAATTAATTATATCATTTTCTTTATTTCATTTCTTCATTTATCATCTTATTTCTATTTTATTTATTTCTTTTATTCATTTCTTCTTTATTTCCTGTTTATCTTTATAATATTTTACGATTTGAATGGAAAGTCAGAAACACCATACAAACATTAAAATAAATCTAAGAATGTGCAGTTGGTGAGACAATCCCTGTTCAAGACTAACTGATTATTATCTATTAATATTTATTGTGAGTGATTATCAATGGGATATTTATTATGATTGTAATAATATTATTTATTAACACGTAAGTACATTTATCAATGATAGATTTAAGTTGAATTTATGGTGTTATCAAGAAAAAGGATTCTTTAACAAGTGATGATGATAAAGAAGATGAATCGTAGTTGTAGTGTTATTGAAATATTCACTTTACAATAACATTATAAAGAATGAAGAGTTTTAATACTCATTAAATTTAAAATAAAAATCAGATAACAACTTAAATAAATCATTTAAATCAAGCACGTTTGAAAAAAAAACAAATTTCAACAGAAATAAATCATTTGAAGAAACTGAATCACTCACCTCTCAACATAATGAAAATCCAATTATAAGTAAGTCATATTTAATTTCTTTCTTTCAAGTTATTTTTCTTCACCTTTGTCTTAATATTATTCATGCATTCTTAGTGCTCTACTATAGTATATGGTTATATCAAACTGGTTTATATCAGTTCAATTGCTACTAATATTATAATAATTAGAGTGAAGAAAATAATTGAAGTTTAGAGTGAAATACTAAACATATTTTCAATGTAATTAGGAAACGATAGTTTGTAAAAATTATTGTGCTTGGTCCAAAAAAAAATAAACACCTTCATCCATTTTGATCATACTTACAACTGTTAGTAGATTTTGATTTCTCGTTCTTGATTATTTTTGTTCCTTATGTAAGTTTTTCTGTAAGTTTTTAAATAACAAATAATTACAACAAATAAAATTTTTGTTATTAAAAAAAATAAAAATATTAAAAGAACTTAAAAAAACAACTTTAATGAGATTGAATAAAAACCTAAAAATTTAAATATAAAATGAGTGAAGACCGATATGATGAAATTCAACTTGCTCTTCAACACATAGAAGTAAATTGGAATGAAATGGGACAAAGGATACAGTCCTTTAATTCATATATTGAACAAGCGAATTCAACAAAAGAATTTAAAAAAATTGCAGGAGAGGCATCAGACTTAATAGGTGACTTAGACGAGTCTGAGAAATTATTGCAAGCTTGTTTAGATAGATTGAACACCTTGTAAGTATTAAAAATTCATTGTAATTTTTTTCATTATTTTTTGTTATGTAAAACAAAATAATTCGTTTTTGAGATATTTTGAAAGATCTTTTCTAACTACTATTTTGTTAAATTTACCTAAAAAATGCCTTTTCAGATTCAAAACAAGAACTTTTATTTCAATGACGAAGATTGATGTTGAATTGACTATTCTTGAAGCAAAGAATTTAGCAGTTTCAGACCTAAAGAGAAGTGATCCATACATTATCTTTATTGCTAATAAAGAAAAGTATAAAACAAAAGTGATTGAAAATGTACTTGATCCAGTATGGAATGAATCATTTCAAACAAAAGTAGAAGTTGGTGAGAAATTAATGTTACAAATAATGGACAAAGATGTAGGTAAAAAAGATAATGAAAATGGAGTATGTTATTGGCAAGTACCATCTATGTATACTGGACAAATGATTTATGATATTTTAGAAATTGATAAAAAAGGATTTCTTTATATTAAAGCAGTTTGTAACAACTCCCCATTACAAAAACAGTTAATACCATTTGACTATGAGAAAATAACATTACTTGAAGTTTGTATAATATCTGTTAATGGGTTTTATAATTCATTAATATCAAACACAGGTATAAAAGATATTACAAAACCAAAAGTATTAAAACATTTAAAGTATACAATGGAATTAAAAACATCAAAAACTAAATGTCAAAGACTTATAAAGAAAAAGACTGTGGAAGGTCAACAGTATGGCAATTATGTATTTTTTGATCAAAGAATATTTTTAAAAGGAACAGTTAACGATGAGATAAAAATCTCATTTTTAACAAAGGAAAAACACCAAAAGAAATTTAAAGTGATAACCAATTCCTCATTTATTATTCCGGATTTTTTACCAAATGAAATAATGACACTTCCAATTCCTTTAAGTGAATCAGGCTCTTTACAACTAAGAATCACATGCCTTGAAAGTGTATACACAAACGTTTATCCAACAGTTATCCCAACAGCTGATATGGTAATAGAAAAGAAAGGAAATGTTGTTATGAAATTAACAAAGTCAAATGGATTTGGTGATTTTTTAGCACCATATGCAACTGTTCAATTTGGTCCTTTATTAATTACAACATCACCAATTCAACACTCTGGAGAACCAGTGATATTTAATGAAAGTTTCTTGGCATTAGTTGAAACAGGAACAAAAGCGATTGTAAGAATGTATAATAAAGATATGAAAAATCCAAATAAAGAAGGAAAAAAGTTATGTGAAGGTAAATTTGAAGTACCAGAAATAAAGAACAAACCTGTTAAAGTGGTTGTACGATTTAATAGTATTTCTCAATTAGAAATTGAGTTTTTCTTAATAAGAACAACATCAAGTGTATTTGATGAATTAGAAAAAACTAATAGAATTGAAAAAAGAAATCAGAAAATAGAAAGTATTTTTAATAGATTTGATGAAGACAAAGATGGGTATTTAAAAGTGAGAGAATTTAGAACTGCTATTCAATTTGTTAACTCAACATTAACAAGAAATCTTTCTGTATTTTTATTTCCATGTTTTGCTATTAATAACAAAATTAATTTAACTACATTTAAAGAAGTAACTGAAGTTCTTACATCATTTAATAATTCACATGACGCAATAACAAAATACATTTATGATTTTATTGACCAAAATAAAATTGGATCAATTACATTGAGTCAATTTATCAATTTTGCTCACCAAACCCAAATAGCTGATAATGATAAGGAATTAACAAATTTGTTTAATTCTTTTGACTACGATAAGTCAAACAGTTTATCATATAAAGAATTTTATCGAATGATACAATGTGTTATAATTGATTAATACTTATTTATTAATTATATTTTAATACTTTTTTTTTAAATTATATTATTTAAACAGTTTTTATACTAAAAAAATAAAAAAAAAAGGAAATCAATCAATTAAAAGTATTTTTTATTAACCAAATAATTGTTTGAAGAACAACTTAATGACTTTTTTAAAGTATAGCAATTGTAACTCAAAGAAAAAAATAAAATGAAAGATGCTGTGACAGAAGAGAGTTTAATAGTTAGCAAAATACTCAAAGAGGTGGATTAATGTAACTATAACTAAAGAAATCATGTTAAGTAAAATGATAGTATATGGACACCATTCAGGTCCAAATAAATTCATTAAACAACCAGCAATAATAGGAGATATACAATAGGTACATAATCCAACAAGTTCGTTAATTCCAATATAAATACCTTCGTGTTGACCTATTTTAACAGCGTAAAACATATTTCCTTGGAATTCATATGCAGCAATAATACCCATTGGTAATGAAATTAAAATAATTAATAACAATCCATTAGTAATAAATCTTAAAGCAACACCAACAAGAATAGTACCAAAGATAGAAGCAATATTTAATAATGGACTGAATTCCCAAATATGAGTTCTTCCTATAATAAAATATGAAATAGTTTCACATGCACAAATAATAAATAATAATACACCAACAAGAACAGATGGTTCATTACTAATATGATTTATAATAACATGTTTTTCTGATGCAAAAACAATATACTGATCAGACATAATAGCTAAAGAACCATAAATTGATATTGAAAGAAATAAAGAAACATAAAAAAATAATTTTCTTTTTTTCAGTGGAAGAATTTCATTATGGACATGTTCATCTAAACTACCACTTGTTGAATTTAAAGAATGAGACAAATTATCTAATTTTTCATTTTTATTATGACTTTTATCTTCGTTTTTATCACCACTTTTATCTTCGTTTTTATCACCACTTTTATCTTCAGTAGAACCCTCATTAATTTCTGTTAATTCATCACTTATTTCAACTGATTCAAGAATGTTATATTTTGGTTTTTTATTATAACGAGGAATAAGAATAAAAACCCCAAAAGCAATAAAAGCAACGAGATAAAGTGTAAATGTATTTCCAAGTAATAATATTACACTCCCTCCACAAAGAAATCCAAGTCCTCTTCCAAAACAACTCATTGTAAAAAAATCAGCAAGTCTTTTTCCTTCTTTTCCTTCAGGTGCAACAATTGAAATTAGTGCCTCAATTGGAGTATAAAATAAAGCAAATCCTATTCCTTGAACCACAAGACAACCAGAAAGAGCATAAATATTTAAATCGTTAATACATAAAAATCCAGTTATAATACAACTAAATGCAACTAATGTAGTTCCAAGTGATGAAAGAGATTCTGGATTAAATTTATCTGCTAAATATCCAACAAAAGGAGAAAGAACTCCTGCTGAGCCAAATGAAATAGCAGAGACTATCCCTATAACTAAAGGTGATTGCCCATCATTTTTTAATAAGACTGGAATAACTAACCAATAAAAATAAACACCAAAATCAAATAATAATCCACAACAACACATAAATATGTGATTTATTTTAGAAAAATCAACAAATAAATATTTTAAGCTATTAAACATTAAATAAAAAGAAATTACAAATGAATTATTTAAGTTCTCTTTTTTTCATATAAGAAGTTATAAACTACTTTCTTTTCTTTTCGACTAATCTATTTTACTTCACTATTTAGTTATCATTCATTCTATAAAACAAAAAAGAAGACAATTGTGATTTCTTTTTAATTCTTTTTTTTCTTATAAATTCCTCTTTTCTTTTTTAAATATTTTATGTTGAGGGGATTTATTTATAGAAATATCATCTATTTTTAAATTTTCGTTTAAACAAAAAAGAAAAAAAAATTCAATTCATTATTATCAATCTCTTTGGAATTATTTTTTCACAATTTGTATTTTATTTGTTAATCAAAATTATCTTCTAAGTATTTAGTAATGAAAGGAGAGTTCTCATAATCACCTTTTGGGAAATTAGGATAACTAGTGGGAACAAAATGATTTTTTTTAGTTTTTTCATAATTCATAAAACAACCCTTTCTGGCTAAGAAGTTAAATATCAATTGCCATACTCTTTCATATCTTAATGTATTATAATTTCCAACAATAATCAATCCTTTTTTTGCTCTAGTAATTGCAACATTTACTCTATGATAGTCTCCTATAAAATGTGCTCCTTTATTATAATTTGATCGAACTGGAGAAAAGATAACATAGTCACTTTCATTTCCTTGGAATGAATCTATGGTTGATGCTCGTTCTATACCACAATGTTTTTTAACATAACCCTTTTGTGAATTGTATGGTGTTAAAAACTCAATTTTTGGATTTGTATTTTCTTCTTTACATAACAATTCATATACTTCTTTACAAATTTGAGCTTCATCATCATTAAATAATTTTCCACCATCACAATACCTTTCTTTACCAGTATGACAAATAAATACGATAGGTCTCTTCTTATTTGGGAAAATAGAGATATTAGTTTGTTCAGAAGATGTACAATCCATAATACAACCACCATAAAATAATGTGTTCGAAAGAATGGAAAATCCAGGATGCATACGATATTGTTCATTTAGTAATGTATGTCTAACATCACAACGTAGTAATCGTTCAAGCATCGTAATATCAAAACCTGCCTGTTTTGATTCTTTTGAAAGAAGGACAGGTTTTAATTGTTGAATATCTCCAAGAAGAACCAATCGTGGAGAAAGAACTACTGGAAAGAGACAATCAAATTCAGTACATTGACTAGCTTCATCTATAAAAGTACAAAGAAAATTAATACCATGAAATTCGTCTTTATTACAACCTCTTAGTGTAGCAACAATACAACTACAGTCTTCAATAATATTTTTAAATTCTTTTTTAATAACATATTCAATATCACCCATCTTTTTACGAGAGTAGTTTATTATTTGTTTATCCTTTACTGCTTTTTCTAATTCTAAAAGTATACCAATCAAATTAAATGTATGACCATCATTTCCTTTATAGTTTTCAAACTTATCTTTATTCCTTAAAGCATATTCTAATGTTTTATTATAAATGCATAATTTCCATTGTTCATCAAATGGCATTTCTTCTAACCTTTCAAATGAAATGAAACGGCAAACTCCTATAGGGCAATAACGTAATTTACTAACGATGGCATTAGCTGCATTATTATTTTGTGCAACACAAAGTACTTTTGGATTCTTAAGGTCATTATGCTTAAAATGAAAAACCTTTTCATCCATCTCTGAAATTCTATGCGTCTGTTGTTCTAAGTAAAGAAAATTTAATACCATAGATTTAATTAGTGTTGTTTTACCAGTTCCTGGTGGTCCAAATACAACTGATATTTGACTATTTAGTGCGTTAAGAACTGCTTTCTTTTGTTGTTCATTTAATTTTTTTTCACATATTAAATCGCTTTCTTCAAAGATTTTATTTTTAGGATATCTTAAATTACCAATCAAACTCTGAATGAAACTAGTATTACCAAATTGTGTTAATACACCTTCAATAAATTTAGTATTTATATGTGGATTTGGATCAATAATATAGCAACGAAGTATTTTAAATGAATTAAGAATACTCTTATCAAAACGTTGTTTAACAACATCATCATCTTTGATGTCTTTAAAATATCCCTCACGTAAAGAAATTCTTATTTCTGTATTGGTAAAGTTATCTACTTTTCCAGTAAGAATAAGATCTGAGCTATCAAATTCTTT